CGTCTGACCCTCCCCCCCCCCCCCGTGGCCCTCGAGGAGGGATGCGTGTGAGGCACAGGGGGTCGGCCCAACCCCCTCTGCCCACGACGCCGTTTCCAGAACCCTCCGGGAGCAGCAGCAGCAGCAGCAGCAGCAGCAGCAGCAGCAGCAGCAGCAGCAGCAGCAGCAGCAGCAGCAGCAGCAGCAGCAGCAGCAGCAGCAGCAGCAGCAGCAGCAGCAGCAGAGCACCCCTCTAGCATACCCCGTCCTGCTCCCCCTTCATCCGTTCCCGTCCGCATCCCGCATCCGTCCCGCATGCCGCGGCGGCGGCGAGGGCCGGCCCGAGTCGCAGGGTAGGGCGTTTGGGGATCGCTGCTCCTCCTCCTTGTCCTCCTCCTCCTCCTCCTCCTCCTCCTCCTCCTCACTTTCCCTCTCCGCAGTTGGCAGCGCGCAGTCGCGCGCGGGCACGCCAGGCCCCGCTGGGCCGGGACGGGGGCGCCGACCGCCTCGGAGGCCTAAGGCCCCCCTGTTCCCGGACCCTCCCACGCCCAGCTCGCACTGCACAGGTGCCTCTATCCACCGCCCCCCCCGGGGGCAGATAGCAGGGGGCCCGGGGGCCACGCCTAAGAAGCAAGGCAGGGGGCAGCAGCCGGTGACAGGGGGGGGGGGCGGCAGCAGCACAGCAGCAGGAAGGGGAACAGGAGAGGCCGCAGAGCAGCACCGCGGCCAGCAAGCAGCAACCGCAGCGGGCAGCAACGCACAGGGGCAAGCAGCAAGGGAGAGAGGGGGCCAGGGCCAAGGGGGGGAGAGCAGCCCCGGAGACCCCAAGGGCGGCGGGGTGATCCACTTTATGTATGCGCAGACTCCTCCGCGCACTCGTGTCACAAATTTCCGCGCAGCCCCACGGTGGGGGCAGGGAGCGGGCAGAAGGGAGCCAGGTGACGACGACGACAAGGGCGACCACAAGAAGGGCGACGACGGCAGCGACGACGACTGCGATGATGGCGGCAGCGGCGGCATGACGACGACGACGACGACCGCGAGACAATGACACCAATGACACGAGCAGCGCGGTCCCACCCGACCGGCTGGGCAGCGAGCACCCCGCCGCCACGGCAAACAGCGGCAGCCACACGGAAGAACAGGGCAGCGCAACAGAGGCACGGCACCGCGGCGCCACGACAAAGGCAACATGGCAGCAGTACGTCACCGCAGCACCGCACCCAAGGGGGCAGCCGCGGGCAAGCAGCAGGGGGCAGCACAGGAACGGCCCAGCAAGGGGAGCAGGGCGGGGGGCAGCAGGGCGGCAAGCAGGCCAGCAGCAGGGGGCACAGCAGGATCGGCAACCCTGCACCCCCCCCGGGGGGCGGCGGAGACACAGAGTCTGAAATAGTGATGGATCATGCTTTGGCCCGCTGCCCCGCGTGCGGGGTAAGCGGCGCATGGCAGCAGATAGAACGAGGGAGGAGAGAGGGAAAAGGGGAGGGGAAAGGAGGGGGGAAGGGGGGGAGAGGAAGAGCACAAGGGAAGAGGAGGGGGGGGGGGAAGAGGAGGTCCGACGTCGCCCCGGCTCTGCCCCGACCGCCCTGGACAGCGCCGAGCGCCCACTGTCAGCCGATCCGGAGGGGGAGGAGAAGGAGGACGAGGAAAGGGGGAGGGAGAGAGGGGAGGGGGGAAGGGGGGGAGAAGCAGAGAACAAGGAAAAGGGGGGGGGGTAGAGGGGAGACGGGGGGGACGTGGTATGAATCCGACGTCGCCCCGGCTTTGCGCCGACCGCCTTGGGCAGCGCCGAGCGCCTATTCATTTGCCAATCCGCCAGCCCCCCAGCGGGGCAAGGAGGAGAAAGAGGAGGGGGACAAGGGGGAGGAGGATGAACAGCAGGAGCCAAGAGGAGGAGGAGGAGGAGAAGGAGGAGGAGGAGGATGAGGAGGAGGGGGCGGAGGAGGGGGGGGATGATGATGCTGCTGATGATGATGCTGATGCTGCTGCTGATGATGATGCTGCTGCTGATGATGATGTTGATGATGATGATGATTATGATGATGATGATGATACTACTGCTGCTGCTGCTGATGATGATGAGGATGATGATGAGGATGCGGAAAAAGATGATGATGATGCTGCTGCTGATGATGCTGCTGCTGCTGCTGATGATGATGATGATGATGATGATGATGATGATGATGATGATGATGATGATGATGAGGAGGAGGAGGAGGAGGAGGAGGAGGAGGAGGAGGAGGAGGAGGAGGAGGAGGAGGAGGAGCGGCCGCCCTCACGGGCGAGCTGGGAGTCGCCTCGCCTCGCCTCGCCTCGCCCCCCCTGCCGCTGGTCGGCGGCTGGGCAGAGGGGAGGCGAGAGGGGGCAGGCCTTCTCAGAAGGCGGCGGGGCTTCTCAGAAGCCCCTGCCTGCCCCCTCTCTCTCTCGCTTCCCCCCTGGACCCCCACCCTCCTGTCGCTACTGCAGCCAAGACCGCTGTGATGAGCAACACTTCGGGCTCAGGAGGAGGAGGGGGAGGAGGAGGAGGAGGAGGGGGAGGAGGAGGAGGAGGAGGAGGAGGAGGAGGATGAGGAGGAGGAGGAGGAGGAGGAGGAGGAGGAGCTGCTCGTGGCCGAGGTTCGCCGTGGCCAGGAGGCCCCTCCGTTCCTCATTCTCAGCGCTCTTCACGGCAGCGCGACGACTGTACGTATTCCCTCTCTCCTCTCTCGGCCTCCTCCACCGCCATTCGCACTCCAGCCCTCCCAAATTCGGCGGCGAGCGAGGGGGGGAAGTGAGAACGAGAAGGCCTTCTCAGATGGCGGCGGGACTTCTCAGAAGCTCTCGCGACTTCTGAGAAGTTATTCAATCGCTTCTCTCATTCCGCTGGCCCTGGAGCCCTCTTTAGGGCCTCTTGGGGGCCTCTGGGGGACCTCTTGGGAGTCTCTTGGGGCTCCTTGGCGGCGTCTTGGGGGCCCCTGCAGCCTCTTGGGGGGCTCTTGGGGACCTCTTGGGTCAGGAGGGGGGGTAGTCGATTGCGCCCCTCCCCTCGGAGGCCACGATCCTCGTGAGGGGTGTCGAAAAATTGCCCGGTCTGGCATCTCTGATCCGAGTGTCCCGGGGGTGTCCAGGGGGTCTCCCGGGGTACTTTTCGTCCGGGGACCCCCAGGGGCGGCCCCGCGCGCGCGAACTAGAATATTGTTAACCAGTTATCGGAGATCATTGCACGCCCTTGGCCCGTTGGGGCAGCGAATTTGTGTCTTCGTGGAAGGCTCTGGAAACTTCTCAGAAGGCCGGGGGACTTCCGAGCCTTCTGAGAAGACCCGCCCCTTCTCACTTCCTCCCCTCGCTCGCCACCGACAAATGAGGTCCGAGTGGATGGGGTCTGAGGATCGTGCCGCGATGCCGATGAATCGGCGATGCGGCTGGATGCGGAGCCGATGCATCGCCGTTCTCGTCGGTGCGTTGCCGATACATCGGCGATACATCGGCGATGCATCGGCGATGCGGCGCGCTCGTCCGATCTCATTTGCATGGACCCCGTTTGGAAGGCCCCTACACCGCTCCTTCTTCGAAGGGCCGTCTGGGATTGTTGCCGTCGCCTCCGCGCTGGCCACATCCCCAATGGGGCATCGTGCTGCCGCTCGAGCGCCAGCCACAATCGCATGCTGGGACGCTTATGGTATGCATCTTGGAGGGCTGTCCGTGTTGTCCAGGGGGTTGTCCAGGGCTTTTTTGGATCAAGTAATTCTCCATTGAACACAGTACCTCTGCCTCTGTCCCGCCTTACGGTAGGTTCGTGCGGCGATGGCGCACCGATGGCGCCAGCGACGGCGTTCAGGGTTGAATTCTCCGACGCGGAAGCACCGACGGACACGGTGACGCCACTGGACCAGACGGAATTCAACCCTGAGCGATCGGGGCCGCGATCGATTCGAAGTTGAAGGATCGACGTGGTGTCAAAAACTTTGGCGCGCGCCGACGCCGCACGAACTTAACGTACGCCCCCCCCGAACCCAGATCTGTAGCTCTCGAACCGGCAAGACCGGCTCTCTTCGTAGGAGGAGGAGGAGGAGGAGGAGGAGGAGGAGGAGGAGGAGGGGAGGAGGGGAGGGGGAGGGGAGAGGAGAGGGGAGGAGGAGGAGGGGAGGAGGAGGAGGAGGAGGAGGAGGAGGAGGAGGAGGAGGAGGAGGAGGAGGAGGAGGAGGAGGAGGAGGGAGGAGGAGGAGGAGGAGGAGGATTAGGGGGGAGGAGGAGGAGGAGGATTAGGGGGAGGAGGCGGAGGAGCACGAGGAGGGGAGGAGGAGGAGGAGGAGGGGGAGGATGAGGAGGAGGGGAAGAGGAGGAGGAGGAGGAGGAGGAGGAGGAGGAGGAGGAGGAGGGAGGAGGAGGAGGAGGAGGAGGAGGAGGAGGAGGAGGAGGAGGAGGAGGCGGAGGAGGAGGTGTTGTTTGTTGCCTGCAGCCTCGGCCTCCGGGGCCCGCTCCCAGGGGCCTGGGGCCACCAGGGAAGAATTTCTTGCGAGGAGGAGCCGATCTTCGGAGACCGGAGCACACATCTCCAGTGGCGGGCTGTTTTCAAGCCCAGGACTCGAGGGTCGGGGACGGCGTCGGGGTGGTGTGGCGTATATTTTCTCGCCCTCGTCCTCGCCTTCGTCCTCCTCCCCCTCGTCGTCCTCCCCCCCCGTTCGCCGCCGCCGTCGTCGCTGTCGGTGTCTGCAAGGCGTCTTCTTGTTTCGCAGCCGCGCCTCCGGCAGCGGAACTTGCTGTTTCACTTATTTGCCAACGCACCTCTGACGTGCACGGCGCTTCTCTCTCTCTCTCTCTCTCTCTTCCCGGGCTAAACGTCGAAACACGGGTACACCAGGATCCCGTATACACCAGGATCCGCTTTCCTGTTTGCAAGTTTCAGTGCAGGGCCAGGGAAAAGCGTCAGTGTGTAGAGTTCGCTTCCTGTTTGCGAGGAGGAGCCGATCTGGGGCACGGGGTCGGGAGGTCTTGTGGCCTGCGTCGTTTGGGAGGCCTCTACTCACTCTCCCCTTCTTCGCCTCATCTTCTTCCCCGCTCCCCCCTTCACAACTACCCGGTGTGACTGATGCTCCACTCTCTCCCTATCCCGACTGTGTCCGGAATCTGTTCCGCCCCCTCCCGATTTTTTTGTTTTGTTAAAACGGTGTTTTACATCCGATCGTTTCCAGTGTTTTGCAACGGCGCTCCCACTGCAGCGTTGACCTCATCTCAGGATCGACGCTTTGCTTCCGTCGTTCAGAATGGTGTTCTCGCCCCTGCGCGGGCCTGATTTCTGGATCGGAGTCCTTCCTCGCTGTTGTCTCCCCTCTTTTCCCCTCCTCCGTCTTCCCCTTGTCCTCCAGCTCCTTCGACTACTCCTACCCCTGCTCCTGCTGTTGCGGCTGTTCCTCCTCCCCTGCTCCTTCTCCTCTTCCCCCCGACGCTCGTCTTTTCCTTCTCCTCTTCCTCCTCCTTTCTTATCATCCTGCTGCTGCTCCTCCTCCTCCTCGTCCACTGCACACAGGTCCACTGTCTGCCCGCGCACAAAGTGATGTGGTCATCGGGTACAAGCTTGGACTCGCGGATATGTGCCAGCCCGAGCGCGCGCGGCTTCGGCCCAGTCGCGGTTCGACCGAATTTATGCCAATTACCGCTTGTCAGAACAGTTGGACCAGCACGTGCAGTGCCCAGCGATTGAGTGGCGCCACGACCTGTCCCATCATCGGGCAGTCTTTTCCACGAGGCGGTCTCCGAAACATGGTGACGATGGTGTGCGCCCACCATTGAATTCGGCTCTCGCCGCCATCGCTCCCTCGAGTGGCGCCGGAGTGCCCAGAAGTTCGGACAGGCCTCGGGCCATGCCATTGCGTTGGGGCGCCTGCGGCTATGCAGAACGGCGCTGCGGACGGTCGCCACCAAGATTGAGAAGGGGCGCCTCGTCCCGGAACCCGCCGCCAATGCAGAGGAACGCTTGGGCGTCACCGTGCAATTCATTTGTGTGTTTTGGAGGGAGGCTGGCTCGACGAGATCTCGACATGCTTATTGCGATACCCAGCTCTCTCCGTGACGTTGTCGACAGCCCGTGCCGCATCGATGGGAATTTGACGCGCCACCCTCGAGGCACTTGATTGCACGCCGTTCGGCTCTTTCGCGAGCAGGCCATTGACGAGCTGGACCGCTCGCGCGCCGACTGGACGAGCAGGGGCGATTTCCGGGTTACGCAGGCGCGGCAGCGCAACGTCCGCCTCATCTACCGGCTAGCGGTGGGCCGCGCTGGCGGCATTTCGGTGGCCGCGAAACCAGATGGCGAGATTGTTTCGCATCCAGATGCGAAAACAGTCGCCCCGCCCTCCCAGTGGAAGGAGGTGCTCACCGCCAAAGGGGTGGACACTGCCCTACTTCAGCAGTGGACTGACGAGGACGTGGAAATCTCCCCCTTGCCGACGCTCGCTCTTCCGGCCCAGCCAGTTTTCGATTACCTCGTCGACACATTCGGAGAGCCACTGAGAAGTCGAGCTTCTCCTCACCTGGTCCGCACAGCGTCCCATTTTTGGCGTGGCGGCGCAACGCAGCTTCCTCGACCACGATCCTGTTCGACGCCTTCCCGAGACCTCCGCGTCCGACGATGGGGCGTCCCTCGTGCAGACCTTCGTTGGCGACTTGGACGCCGGCCTCCTTGTCTTTCGGCCCAAGAAGCCGGCAGTCTTTGGGCCCACGGGGGAAGGGTACCTGGAGCCCAGCGGCGTGCGGCCATTCAGCCCAGGAGGGGGAAAAACACACAGACACAATTGATCGTCGATTCCCCAGAAAGTATGGGAAAATATGGGAAGCGGGGGGGAAGACGAAAACCCCCGAAATATGGGAAAATGTGGGGAATCCTGTTATTTGTGTGCATTTCTTTGTGTGTCCCTGGGCCCCTTCAATGCAGCGTCACCCGCGCGGGCAGCCGCCTGTTGGCGAATGCGATGCGGCTGCGGATCGTGCCGGTGGCCGGGCCCAGAGTCCCGGACATCCGGAAGGGGGTTCATCACTTGGCGTTCCGCGCTGTCCAGCCTGGTCGACACAGAGGGGGCGTCGGTCCTCGCTGCTTGCTCCTCAGACGAGGCTGGTGCGATGTTCTTCGATTCTGCAGTGGCGTTCTCTTCCATCGAGCAGTCCTTACTCGCGCAAGTGTTCGAGTCATTGAATTGGCCTGGGTGGTAGCGCGACTTCATCGGCGTTCTGTGCCAGTGGGACTTCTGCGACATCGTGACGGACGGCGCCTGCTACAGCGGCTTCGGCGTGCACCGCGGCATCCGTCCAGGCTGTCCCCTTCTCCCCTTGCTGTTCGCTGTCGCCGCGGGCCTGCTGCTCAGACGCCTTCGCCAGGACCTCTTTTCTATCGCTCTTCACGCCAGCGCCGACGACGCGGCTGGGGTCGACCCGCTGGTGTTGTGGCACCTGGCCCTGTTCAAGCGCACCTTCGTGGGGTGCCCGCGGGTGTCTGGCCTAGAGCTCAACGTCAGCATGACGGTCTTGGTTCTACTCGGTGCTTCCAGTCAGTCGGCGATTCCCATTTTGGCGACGACGTTCGTCTGTGGGGGGCTTTCGAGATCGCTGATTCGGCCAAATATGTGACATTTTTCGTAGGCACTGGGGGGCCTTCCAATCGTGGGGCGGCGCGTTAAAGGAGATGGAAGACCTTGCGTCTGTGTGGGGGTCTGTCGGGGCAGGCGTGATGTACGCCATCGACGCTTGCTGGGTCTTCATCGCCTCCGTCGTCACGTTCGCGGTGCAGGTGGGCCCCCGCCTTCGCCGCCGTGGAAGAACGGGTTCTGCGGGAGCTCTTCACTGGGCCCATGGATGGGCTTGAAGTCGACGTCGTCAAGTTTGTGCGTGCGTCTGGATTTCCTCGTGACTTCCGCTGCGTCGCAACCATCACTGGTGTCGCAAAGGTCAGGGTTTCTGTCCACCAGGCGCATCGTGTCGGGAGTCTTCGTGGTCGGCCACGCGGTGCAGCTTTTCGGGGCGCCCTGCAGGACGTGGAATATGATGTCCGCCTAAAGAGCGTGGCGTGCCTGGGCGGCTTCGCCCTTCTGTTCTCCTTGGGGTCCGCTTTGCTTTCCGTCCACGCCGGCGGGGAGGTCGCGGTGGCGCTCCTCGATCCATCCACCGTGGACAGTCGCCGCGAGGGCGGGCAGGCTCGCGCCCTCAGGGCGGTGCCCCTTCCCAACGCTGCGGCGATGGAGCGGGCGCTGCGCCGTCGCCTGGTCCATTGGCTGCTGGGCGTGCTCCCGGGCCGCCGGTGCAACAGGCTCTTGGCCAACATGCTGAGCATCCAGCCCCGCGGTTTCTCGAGAGTTCTCGCTGCAGTCCTCCGCTCGAACATCAACGGTGGATGGCGGCCTGGAGGTTCCAGAAGCTCGGGCGGTGCATTTTGGAGTGTGGTCGGGCCGACGATTCGCTGGAGCATGATGGCCATTGCACGGTGTACCACCGTCTCTGTGGGCAACAATTGCGCCTGCAGCGCCTGGAGGCGGTGGCGGCTCTGAGTGATTTCCTCATCATCTTCCCTCCCTCCCGGCGCTTGCGCGCGGATGGCCCGCCAGAGGGCGGCCTCGTCGCTGCCGCTTTGAGAGCTCTCAGCGTGCATGCCCTCTACCGCGCGAACAGTGCAGCGCGGCACGGCCGCGCGGAAGGGAGATGCACAGGGCTCTTCCGCGGATTCGCCCGCGAGGGTGCGTGGGGCCACGGGCTGGCGACCGCCTCCTTTCATGCGGTGCGCAAGCGCCGACGCCAAGATTGATTGGGAGTTGATTTTTCCGTCGGTTCCCCCTCCTCCGCCTTCTCCTGTCCTCTCGTAGGCTGCGTGGGCGGCTCTCGCGAATCTTGCTAGCTACAACGCATGTTGCTTCTCCTCCCCGTAGTCGTTGCGTGGGAGAGGCCCGCTTAATGCGCCGTCGGCGGGTGCTGCGGCCGCGCGTGGCGGATAGTTTCATACGCGCGAGTTCCCTTTCTTGTCCTCCCCCTTCCTCCTCCTCCTCCTCTTCCTCCTCCCCCTCCTCTCCATCTCTTGTTCAGGCGAACAGCAGCCCGAACTTCCGCCCCGAGTTTCGGCCCCGTTCGCGTTCGCAGGACCTAGATTTCGGGCAGGTACGCGTTTCGCAATGATTCGAATTCGGGCCGTATTTATGATCAGTTTTCCCTGGTCCTCCTCGTTTTTATTATGTTCTTCCTCCTTATTTCTTTGAACCTTCTTCCTCCTCCTCTTCTTCCTCTTCCTCCTCCTCCCCGACCGCTCGCCCGGGCAAGGGTTGTCACAGGTTTCTCGTCTTGTTAATGTTTGTCTTTTTGTGGGGGTGCAGACTGTCTCCGCCAAGGCTGGCGCCTTCAGCAAGCAGCAGCAACGTCGTGGCAACACCGTTGGAGCCCTCGCGGTTGTTCTCCGTTCTCCTCCCGCGGAGAGACTCTTCGCAGGCCCAGACGTGCTATGGCACCCGTCGGCGGACAGAGGAGGAGGAGGAGGAGGAGGAGGAGGAGGAGGAGGAGGAGGAGGAGGAGGAGGAGGAGGAGGAGGAGGAGGAGGAGGAGGAGGAGGGGAGGAGGAGGAGGAGGAGGAGGAGGAGGAGGGAGGAGGAGAGGAGGAGGAGGAGGAGGAGGAGGGAGGGGAGGAGGAGGAGGAGGAGGAGGAGGAGGAGGACGAGGAGGAGGAGGAGGACGAGGAGGAGGAGGAGGAGGAGGAGGAGGAGGAGGAGGAGAGAGGAGGAGAAGGAGGAGGAGGAGGAGGAGGAGGAGGGGAGAAGGAGGAGGAGGAGGAGGAGGACGAGGACGAGGAGGAGGAGGAGGAGATGGAGGAGGAGGAGGAGGAGGAAGAAGAGGAATAAGGAATACTAGTAAAAATACTACTAACAATAATGATAATATTAGTAGTAGCAAGAATAATAAGAGTAAGAGTAATACGAAGAAGAATCTTATTCATAATACTAATAATACTAATATGAAAAAAAAAGAAGAATAGTATCACGCGTAGTACTAATACTGCTGATACTGATAACACTAATAATACTAGTCTTAATAACAATAACACTAGTAATAGTCAGATTACTAATAAGAATAATACTAACAAGACGAATAAGATTAAGCCTAATGAGAAGAAGGATAATAATACTAAGAATAACAATGCGACAAATAATCATAATACTGTTAATAATAAGAATAAACATAAACCTAAGGCTAATAATACGACTAATACTACTAGTAAGACGAATAGAGAATAATAATAATCAGAAGAATAATACTAATCATGATGATGATGCTACGGATACCGCTAATATTAAGAAGAACAATGATAATACTAATAAGACGACGACGCAGCATAATACGACTAAGACTACTTTTAACAAAATTACATATAAGAATAATAATAATACTACTAAACGCACTAATACAACTAATAATAAACTACTAATAACAAGAATAATAAGGCGAATACGAAACATAACAATAATACGACTACGAATACTAGTAATAACAATAATAAGAAACTGATACTTAGACTAAGAATAAGACTAACAAGACTAATACTACGAATACGAAGAAACACACCAATAATAATAGTAATAACAATAATAATAGGATGACTCATAAGAATAATGAGAAGAATAATAATACTAAGACGAATAATAATAGTAATAATAATACGAATCCTAAGAATACTGAGAATAATAATAAGAGCAATAAGACGAAACATACTACTAATAATAATAACAAGAAGACTAAACATAATATAATAATAAGAAGAATATCCAGAATAATACTAATAATAAGAATATCACTAATAATAATATTAATGAAAAAATATTAAGAATAAGACAGCGACTAATAATAATGATACTGATACTACTAGTAAGAATACGAAGAATACGACTAACAATACAAATGCTAAGAATAATAAGAATAAGCAAAACACTACTAATAATACTAATAATAATACTAAGAAGCAAAGAAGAACAATAATAATAACAATAATAAGAGGAGAAGGAGGAGGAGGAGGAGGAGGAGGAGGAGGAGGAGGAGGAGGAGGAGGAGGAGGAGGAGAAGGAGGAGGGAGGAGGAAAACTCAGCGCCACGGGCCTGGAAGGGAGGGGCGGGCAAGGGTGTCCGGCGGGGCGCGCGCGCGCCCAGCCTGCCCTTCCGCCCTCCTCTGTGCTCCGCCGTCGGGCCCCGCGTGCGAGGCCAGCGCCAGCTCAAGGACACCATGAGGCCTGTGCTCTCCAGCCGCCCCCCCGCCTCAACCTCGTCGTCCTCGTCGTTGTCGTCCTCCTCCTCCTCCTCCTCCTCCTCCTCCTCCTCTCCCCTCCTCCTCCTCCTCCTCCTCCTCCTCCTCCTCCTCCTTCTCCTTCCCCTCGTCCTCCTTCTCCTTCCTCCTCCGCCTCCTCCTCCGGGACCATCAAAACGGGATCTTGGGCGCACATTTGCCCCCAGGGGGGGGGGGTCGGGATGTCTGGGGCCGCGGGCTGGAACACGAATGTCGGAGGATGTCTGGGTTCGAGGACATGCGCGCGCGGATCAAGGCGCGTGGATCAGCGACGGTGGTTTCGTTTCAGTAGAAGATCGGCGCGGTGTCCGTCGCCGGATCAGGCGGCACTAGCCTCGTGTTTCGGGGGTTCCGATTTGGCTCCCTCATCCGCGGATTTGGCGCATACGCGCCAAGTCCACGGATCCCTAATCCCTGTTAGCGTGTGCTCGAGGGGTGGTGGGATGGATAGTCTGGAGGGAGGTGAGGAGGGAGGCGGCGGAGGAGGACGCTGAGGCCGAAGAAGACATGGATGCGGAGACACGACCGAGGAGGAGGAGGAGGAGGAAGAGGAGGAGGAGAGGAGGAGGAGGAGGAGGAGGAGGAGGAGGAGGAGGAGGGGGAGGAGGAGGAGGAGGAGGAGGAGGAGGAGGAGTGAGGAGGAGGAGGAGGAGGAGGAGGAGGAGGAGGAGGAGGAGGAGGAGGAGGAGGAGGAGGGTGGTGGAAGCTGTGCTCGAGCACTCGAAGGAGCCAGCGTGCAGTTTTATTTGATATTCTACTTTTCGCGTATCCCCACCAGCCCCACACAAAAGCGATGCCCAGGCGAGTTGCCTGGACCAGGGCAGTGTAAGAGCATGCAGTGAAGCAAAGAGCAGGGACAGCCATAAAGGCCTTCGCGATCCTTCTGCTTCCTGAAGAGTTGATCGGAAGCCCCCCCGCGGCCTCGCCGCGTTAGTGCGCTCTTTTTTCTCGCCTCCTGTCTCTGCGGCCGCCTCTCTACTTTTCCCCTCTTCTTGCATGCGGGACACTTCGCAATACTGTAGCCCTGTTCGCTTGGACGCGCGAGCGGATTGCTTCTGCCGCGCTGCGACGGGACAGCGGATTCGAGTCCATTTCGGCGCACCTCTCAGACGTTTCGTGACCCCACAGGGCGGCCCACCTACGGCAGCAGTGGGGTGCGTTCGCATGGCGGTGCGTGGATTGTGCCCCACAGGGAGCTCTGGCAACTTCCTCGATGGATACGGTCGCATGACGTCGCCGCCTCCAATTCGGCGCACCTTCGCGCGGACCCTGCCCAACCGGGCGGTCCACCTACGGCATCCACATTGTGCGTTCGCATGGCGGCGCCCGTTTCGGTATTCCTGTCTTGCGGACGGTGCCCCACAGGGAGCTCCACCCAGTGGCCTCCGTGGACAAGCTTGCGTGGCGGCGCGGGGCCCCTTTTGGCACACCCTTCTCGCGTTCTCGCGTCCCCACGGGGCGTTCGCAGGGCGGCGCCGCGTCCTTGTCGGCTTCAGTGGGCACGATCGCATGCCGGCGCCGTACAAATTTCGGCACACCCCTCACGCGGATCGTGCTCGAGTCGCAGACCCGGTGGGCGCGCCCAGGGGACCCTCGTTCCAGTTGCGGCGCGCACTGCCCGAGGACAGGGTCGCCCCCAGCGTTGCACGCAGCTGTGTCGGGTTGGGCCACTCGAAAGGCAAACCTTCAATGGAGGTTGTGGTATCGTGGGCTCCCGGGCCCAGTGTGCTGTCACAAGCATCGTAGCCCCCGAGGCGCCTTCTTTTACGTGCCCCCCCCTCGCGCCTGGAAGCCGAAGAACATGGTTCCGGGAGAGTATGTTGTTCGGGTCAGGGCAGCTTGAGTTGCTGAAATCATGGAGTCGGACCTTCTCTGAAACAGGGCTGTTGTATGCCCCCGAAAATGTGTGACGTGGAACGTACTCGCACTGCAGCGCTGCGAGCTGTCTCGTCCCACGCGTGAACTGCCCATCTGCTGACACGTCGGCCTCGCAGCATGTCGGCTCCTGCAGGGGGGGGGGCGGCGGTTCAGTTGCGATAGTGCTTCATGCGGTTGATCGTTGTGGTAGTCTGGTGGTTTCGACAAAAGCCCATCGAATAACTTCAATAGCTGGAGAGACGTCACCCCTCGCGCCCCCGATTTCAATGTCCACATACGCACGCAGGCCGTGGGTCGCAGAAGTGACCATTTTTGCTCGGAGCGGCCTGCGCTCGCCTGGATCGAGGGCCCCGAACAGTAAAATTGCGGTCGTTGGCTCTGTCCCCCTTGGGCCCCTTTTTAAGGATGTGCGTTTTTGTTTGTTCGAAGACCACGGTGGCGGTGAACAAAGGAAGCACACAGCAGAACGAATCTGGTTGATGGCCTGATACACAACGGCCGCAATGGTTCAGCGATTGCGGACCATCACTGGCCGAAGCCGGGTCGACAGGACTCGTGCATGGTGGGAGTGCGTACGCAGCACGTTGATTTTTTTGATGTACGGGAAGCTCGTTCTGCTATTTTTTTTGCCATGTGTTGGCCTCGTTTTTTCCCCGTCTCTGATTTCCGCCGTGCGCATCTTTGTCACTTCTCGGCTAATGCCATCCGTTCCAGCAAGGTGGGGCGCCAGCGACTCCAGAGACGAGGAGGACACCACAACCGCCGAGGTTCCGGGCGAATCGGGAATGCCGGAGGATGATGTGGGAGAGGACAGATCGATGGGATCCTTCCCGCCAGCCATCGCGTTCGTTTCCTTCGGCGGAGGTGGAGGGGGAGGAACGGGAATATGAGAAGGAGAAAGGACTAGGAGGATTAGAAAGAATGTGAGGAGAAGGAAGAGAAGGAGGAGGAGGAGGAGGAGGAGGAGGAGGAGGAGGAGGAGGAGGAGGAGGAGGAGGAGGAGGAGGAGGAGGAGGAGGAGGAGGAGGAGGAGGAGGAGGAGGATAAGGAGGAGGAGGAGGAGGAGGAGGACAAGAGTAGTCCAAATATGCATCAGCGATGCTGCAATAAACCATCCCTGCAAAGTCCCCTCCTCATAGGCCCTTCAATTCCTCCTAATCTAGACGCTTTGCGTAAACCCACCAGCTCATCTGGAAACGATGCCCCAGCGAGTTGCCCTGATCAGGGATGTGGAGGAGCCTGCAGTGGAATGAAGGGCTGGGGTAGCCGTCATATCCCAAGAGGGGGAGGATGGAGGAGGAGGATGAGGAGGAGGACTACGATGGAGGAAGAGGAGGATGAGGAGGAGGAGGGGGAGGAGGAGGGAGGAGGGAAGGGGGAGGAGGAAGAATGGAAGGATGAGGGTGAGGAGGAGGGCGAGCGGAATGGGCAGAGGCCTCTTGGATGCCTCTGGGAGTCTTTTTGGATGTCTCTTGATCGCGTCTTGGGGCCCCCTTGACGGTCGCGGGGGCCTCTTGAAGCGTCGTGGGTGCTTCGGGGAAGCCTCTCGGGGCCTCGCTGGGGTTTAGCCTCTTGGGTTCCTCTAAGTGGCCGGTCGCGACCTCCTGGGCGCCTCTTAGGACCCTCGAGGGGCACTCTTGGGAGCCTCGGGGGCCATCTTGGCCACATCTTGGAGGAGTTCGATCGAGAAGGGGGTGGAGTAGTCAAGTAGGGACCCCCCCAGGAGGCCAGCAGGGGTCCAGCTCTTCGGTCAAGTCCCTGGTTGCCTTCCCGCCGAGGCCGTTTCGGACGCTCCAATGGGTCGCGACCCCGCCCCCCCTCCAGGTCCAGGGGTAGGGGGCAGGGGGAGGGGTCAAGACACCCTCCTAGATAGCAGGCCGTCCGGCTCACTCCCGCGCGCCCTCCCAACACAGAAGTAACACCCGAGTGTCAGCAGAGCGCTTCGGAGCGCCACACGCCGTGCGCGCCACGGGTTTCGGGTGCACCAGGCACCCTGGAGGCCCAAGCGTGCCAAGTGCGGCACATACTCCACGTGCGCCAGCTGTGCCACGTGCTCCAGCCGCGCGTGGTGCGCCAGCCACGGTGAACCAATGGGGACCCAGGTGCCTGGGGCCCTGGCCCCAGAAGCGATGTGCCGAGCATTCTGTGAGAAGGGCGGCTCTTCCAGGGAGCGCAAGGCACCGGCACCGATTGACAGATTGTGACATCTTGAGGTGTTGTGAAACAGATGAGAGCTCAAAGAAAAGAGGGCCCTGCGCATGCTGTATATTTGGAGCCACCGTGTATTTTTGTATTGTTTTTGACAGGCATGGTTGGCCTGCGCGCAGCAAGCAACATGCCAGCTCCCCGCCGTCCCTGCCAAAAACCAGTGCAATGTGGTCGCGGGGCGCCCGTGCATGCGCAAGATTGGATGGCAAAGTGTATTTTGTATTGTTTTTGTAAGGGATGGTGTGTGGGGGGGACTCATTAGTCCGGGTTGGCTGCCGGTCGCCTCGGGGAGGGGGTGTTCATTAATAGGTAGCAGTGGTAAATTCTCCCCGAAGGAGGAAAACAGGGTTGTGAGAGGAAACGCTCTAAATCACTCACGCCCCAGGGCTGGTGGGATTCACTGCAAGAACCTCCCTCCTTGAACGACCCAAACAGTCGGGCCTGCCATTTTGGCAAGCGCCCCACTTTGAAACGGAATTGCCTTGCATCAGTCTGGCGCGCAGTCAGGAACGCAGAAAAACAATGATCATACAGCTCAACGAGTTGTCCAGCAATGTTCCCCTGTCGAAGAAGGACCGTCCTCCCCATCCATCTAACTGCTTCACACGCTTACTCTTGGGTCATGAGCCCCGAAGAAGTCCCAAGCGACAGCTTCATTCCGTGCAGCGTTACGTGCCTTGAAGCTTCGGGTCCTTACCCCTTAGCGAGTGCTCAGTCCATATCTTCATTCTGAAAAAGAGACCCCCCTCCTCCTCCTCCTCCTGAAGGAGGAGGAGGAGGAGGAGGGGGAGGAGGAGGAGGAGGAGGAGGAGGAGGAGGAGGAGGAGGAGGAGGAGGAGAATCATTCACGCTGTCTGAGGAGCGCTGCGTCAAAAAAGGTGCGCGGTGCTCAGGAAAGAACCGCAGTTTGGAAAAGGAGACGCCCTCCACCCGTGAAGCTGGTGCAAACATTCAGCACGAACGTGCGCGACACCAAAGGCGAGAGCCACATGTTGAAGACTGCCCCTTTCCGTCCAACAGTTTGTCGCCGACTTTTAAGACGCGTGTGCGCGGCGCAGAGGCGAGCGCCGCATTTTTTGGAACAGGCGCCCTCCAGTCGTGAGGCTGCTGCGAACTTTCTCCACGCGAGTGCACGTGGCGTTGCTGCAAGAGCCGCATTTTGAAAAGGAACCGCCTTCCATGAGTGAAACGGTTGCGAGCTTCAAAGACAGCTGTGCGCTTCGCCACGGCGAGGCCACATTTTTGAAAACGCTCCCCTCTTATCCGTCAGCTTATCTGAAACTTTGAAGACGAATATGCGCGGTGGCGCTACGGCTGGCTACATTTTGAAAACGACCCCCCCTTCATCTGTGAAGCTACTAAGCACTTTTATGACGTATATGCGGGCGCGGAGGCGAGAGCCACATTTTGAAAACTACTCACCTCCAAATGTGAAGCAGTTGTAAATTTTAAGGTTCAGGATGATAAGTCGTGAGGAAGTCCCTGTCGAAACTCCAGGGCTGCCCTGCCGACACGCCTTGGGGTGCGACAGGATCGCGTTATTCATAATGAGCAGGGGCGACTAATCACAATAAGGACGAGGGGCTAGGATGGAGAGCAGGATGAGGCGGACACGGGTGACGGGGTGGAGGAGGACAGAGGGTGGATATAGACGAGGAAGAGCAAAGAAAACGCCGCCTGGGAATACAATCGGGAAAATGGTGAGGAATAGGATTTTCGGCATAGAGGATTCTGAGGAGGTGGAGCAATAGAAGGAGCAGGCGAAGGGGAGGAACGGAAGGCGGATGATGATGCTGATGATGAGATGATGATGGTGATGATGATGATACAGATGATGATGCTGATGATGATGATTCTGATGATGACGATGATGATTATGCTGATGATGCTGATGCTGCTGCTGATGATGATGATGATGATGCTGATGACATTGATGATGCTGATGACGATGACGATGATCATGATGATGATGGAGCCGATCATGCTGATGATGATGCTGTATATGATGATGCTGATGATACTGATGATGACGATGATGATAATGATGATGCTGATGATGATGATGCTGACGGTGATGATGATGATGATGTTGACGATGCTGATGATGATGGTGGTGATGATGAGAATGGTGGTGATGGTGATGAGGATGAGGATGAT